AGCCTTTCGATCAGTGTCAGGATCCAGGATTCTGAGGTACCAGAGCCTCCTCCCCTTTATCCTTAGGCTGTTTAACTGTTACAAAGTTTGAAAAGAGGAGTAGGTTAGAGTTCTGCCATTCAATTAGGGGACAAAGTACCAGGTAACCAAAAGAACAATTACTTTGCTTTATTTTGCCTCTCTTTTCTGGATATCACCCTGAATGACCCCTCTTAGACTGGAGAGGCACAGCTGCGACAGGACAGTATTGGGTATTCCTATTTCTCCTAGGAAAAGGGGAAAATCTGTATCACTTATAAATATATCCCTTTATTATCCCAGTTTTGTAAACAATGTAAGGATAAAACTTGAGATCTGAGAATTGGCTATGAAAATTTAAAATAGAGACAGCCAAAACAATGAAAAACCCAGAGGTGGCCTCACAGATATGTGATAAAGAACAATATAGAGGACACTCTTGGTGCTTAGAATTTTCCCTCTTTTTCCCCATTTAGTTCTGTTTTCCATTTATATTTAGAAATTAATTCTCTCATTTTATTAAAATAAACCCTTTATATACATGTGAACATATCCGTTTAATCTTGTTAATGATCCATGTATAGAGTTGTTCATTTAAAGGCCACCATCCTCAACAAATCTCAAAATGAAGCCCATACTAATCATTTGGTAGCTGGCCAAGTCTTAGCTCAGAGCAAGAATTAAAAAGTCCATAGTTGAAATTAATGAATCCCTGTCTGTTCCCCAAAGGATGAGGAGTCACTCTCTTAGGCACCTGCTCTTAAACCTCAATATGCCTCCAATGAACAGGTCCTGTGAGGGTACCCCCTCCCCGCCTCTGACTCTGCCCATTCTGCACTCCCCTTATCCGTCTCTTATTTACAATAAGAGATACAAGTACTGCCAAGAAAAATACAATGAACTGCATCTTGGTTACTGCCTGGAAGCAGTTCTCCTAAAAGAGAAACCTAGGAATGCTTATTCAAAAGGCAAATACTCTAAAAATGCATTTGAAAATAACAATCACATTCAGAAAATAGTTGGGCAAAACCACCTGCTTTCACCGACCAGGGAGTCTAGAGAGCTCTAACTTTCTCACCACCTTTTCAGGTCAAGAACCCATGTAAGGTTAGGAGAGGCTGTCTCTCCGTTCACCGGAAACAGTAGAGCCACGCAATGCATGACCGCAAGTGCTGGAGGTGACCATTCAGAGACACATACAGGGATGGTGGCAGAGTTAGAATACAAGTGGTAAGAGAAAGGACTAGAAAAGAGGTCTGTGCTTCTCTTTCTAACCTAAGATCCAGGCGTAACGGAAACAAGAGCAGCTTAGCTCACCGCCAATTATCTCTTTCATGTAGGACTGCCATTAAAAGTACAGAACACTCAGTTAAATCGGAATCAAACACCAATTATTTTGACTCTCGATTTTTTAGCGTTAGTCTAGACTTGTGCCCGGAACTCCAGGCCCCAAAAAACCAACTGCCTACTTGGTATCTCCACTTTGGTGTGTACTAGGCATTTTAAGCTCTCCACGACGAAACTTAGTTCCAGCTCTGGGCCACCATCCCCACCCCCACCTGGGGCCAGATCTGCTCCTCCTGCGGTTGTCAACCTGACCCCACATCGCGGTACTACTCCTCCACTGCACGAATCAAAAATTTGGAATCATCCCCATTCCTCTCTTACACTTACATTTATTTGAGGAACTCTATTTGATACTTCTGTAAACTTGAGGCTAGATAACAAGTTGAGGTACTACAGTTAATGAAGATATATGCCGCCAAGGACTTCTGCACAGTTTCTCCTGGGCCAGAGAAGTCTCTTCCTTAGAAGCATCTGTGTCTTGTCACATGTGTGTCAACCAACCAATAAATGACCCTGCTTAAAGAAGGGCAGAGGTGGCAAAGTCTTCTGCATCTGTACCTTCAACCAGCCCAAGGCTTTCACTTTCACTTCCAGCACACCTTAAAATGTGGAAACAAATGTGGCAGTGGAAACATCTCCCTATCTGAAACCCCTATCCTGTTTATTAAATGAAAAGTTATCTTCTCACTCTTAGAGCAACTGCATCTAGCTTTCCAGTCTCTTTATTTTATTATTTTTAAAAAGATTTTATTTATCTATTTGAGAGAGAACACAAGCAGGGAGAACTGTAGAGGGAGAGGGAGAGGGAGAAGCAGGCGGTTTACTCAGGAGTGAGCCCAGCCCTGGGCAGGGGAGGGGAGAAGGGGGCCTGAATCCCAGGGTCCTGGAATTATAACCCGAGCTGAAGGCAGACACTTAACTGACTAACCCAACTAGGTAGCCCCTGAACTTTTACTTACTTACTTACTTATTTATTTATTGTAGCTTTCCAGACTCTTAATAATCCATTCCCAACCAGAAGACCAAGGAGTTTCATAAAATTAGTAGAGAATGCACAATGTGTAAATCTATATAATATCCCAATCACAGAGTTCAAACTCTAGTTCTAGAGTTCAAACTCTAGAACTCCAGGATATTTTGTGCCGAATTTTTGTTTAGTATACCTGATAAATGTGAGATCATCTCAGGTCTTTCTTACCAAATAACAAGGAACCCAGACACTAGGTAACTAGTATAACTCAGAGCAGCCTAATGTTTTAGCCAGCCCAGCCCAATAAATATTTTCTCATTTTTTTCCGTCAATGGTTACCCTCTGAGAGTCTCATCGAGGAGCAATGGTTTCTATTCTACTGCTAATGCATGGCATGCTTTAGGGGACAGAGATGCTGGGGAATAACAGCCAAGCAAAAAGAGTTTATTGGTTTAGCGATGTCTTCAGGTATTTAAAGTCGTAGGCCTGGTGCTCAGGGGAGTCAGATTGGAAGGTGGGATTTTCTGCCACCCAGCCATGTTATAGTGTCAGCAACAACTTCTACATTTTCAAAATTGACCATTATGACGAACCATGTAATTTATAAAAGTAACTAGATAAAAAAAATGATACAGGTAAAAAAAAAAATGATACAGGTAACCACATGAGAAAAACAATTTAAAAGATAAAGTTTAAAAAAAAAAAACTACTTTGACCACCTCTGCCAAAAAATCAAAGATGGGTATAAAAGTAAAATTCAAGAAAGTAGACAGCAATAGACATTGTTTCTGTGGGACACAAAGAGAGATAAAGTTTTTACAAGAGATTTGAAAATGATTGCATTTGACATAGAAACGTTTATTGTAAAAGTTTAATTTGGTGTGTACTTCTTTACTATACTAACACATTATCTCCATATCGGTCATTTTTCTTAGCCTTCATATTTTGAGGGAAAAATAAAATTTGAATGGATGGTCTATTTTTTTTTCTTTTTTGTACATTTCAATGTCAAAAGTTTCCATGCCTTTTAAAGAACATAGCCTTGCATGTTTATCAATACTGCTATGCCCAGGGTCTCTAAAATTTTCTGAAGATTCTGACATATAACAAAATATATGTTAGATAAAAAAAAAATTGAGTATCTTTTTTAAATGTCTGTGGCAAATTTATTAGCTCCCTAAAACAAAAAGTATTGTACAGACAATCTGTGGAGGTAATTTCACAGGTGCCTCATCAAAACTGTGATACCTAGAAGGTTATTTAATTCTTCTTCTTCTTCTTCTTCTTCTTTTTAAATTCTGTTAAATTCATCAAGAGTACTTTGAGTATTCCAAGTTAGTGGAATTTCTGCTCATGTCTCATAAAGACTTTCCCATTGTCAGTTTTCTTCCCACTGATGAATTTACTAACTCTGAATGCAAATATTTCACTTTATCCCATCATTATCTGGACAGTCTCTGAGTAATAGCTTTCCTAAAAGCCTGTGCTTTTCCAAAGATAACTAAAATGCTTTAATCCTCATATTGTATTAATCACTCCCAATAATCAATTTTCATCTGAATATTGTATTAAGTGATTCTCTCAGGCCATCTGAAACATGAAATCTGCACTTGACAGAAATCATACTATTCAAAACATTCCCCTGCACATGTCACTAAAAGGAAAACTACCCACCCTGGAGTATAGCTATTAATGTCAAACAGATTGTCATCTGGGAAAACAAAAATGCATAAAAATCAGCTCCGGACAAAGTACAGCTCTATGGAAAAACACCAGGTTTTTGTGTGCAAATGTCTTAAATGTCTGATTGAAATGTTTAAAGAACGAGTTAGCAAGGAAGCTGCCGTTGTTCTCCATAGCCTAAGATAATGTTATAACGAAAACAGTTTTAGAGCTAAAGGGTTTTTCATCATAGCACACTATGATTTTACCGAAGATGCATTTGCCCCAGTTTCTAGTAAACGTTATAAGAAATGTTTGGTTTCCAGCTTGGGCCGAGGGCTCTATTTAGCCTATCAAGGCACAGACCTGTTAAAAAACGCTGGGGCGCTTGCCAGAATTTTTTCTCCTGCAACTCTTGGTAAAGATCGTACCTCGAAAGCAATGTGCGTTGCAAACCACGCAGATCTAAGCTCCCTCTCCCGCCTACAGAGCTTGGCACCAGCGGCTTCTGAGAGATCCCTTGCCTCCTAAAACTCAGACCGAATCGCCACCACCATTCCTCACCTTTCCACCACCACCACGCCACAATCTTTGCTCAGCTCTCCCGAGCCCAGTACAGAGCGTGCCCGAAGCCCCTGCAGAGTGAACTCCTGGTGCCACTCAACTCCCCAGCCCAGCGCACACCCACAAACACACTCCCTCCGCTGCAAACTGCCCCCAAATTTGTCACCCACCTCACCCCTACTACGCCCACGTCCCTGTCGCTTTTTCGCTCCTCCTGGTGGCTTCGTCCCCAACACACCTGTCTAATCCTATGGCTACCAGACGTCAGGTGCCCACGCTGCGCCCTATCCCGCGCCCTCTCGATCCAACTGGCGCTTCCCACTCCGCCCAGTGGAAAGTCAATGTACTCGCAGCACCTTCTACCCCACCCGCGTGCCCACCCGCAGAACTCCCCCGACTCCCACACTCGCTTGCGCTGGAGAAGGAGCGCCCGTCGTACCTGTCGAGAGCGCGGCGGCGGTGGCGAGCAACAGGAAAGCCTGGCGGAGCGTCGCGCACTGCGCTCGGGTCATGGCCACCAGGCGGCCGCGCCGGGGCTGCGAGGTCCCAGAGCGGAGCTAGGCGGTCCGAGCCGCCCGGGCCGCTTTGAAGTTCCCTGGGCGCGGGCGGGATGGAAGCACAGCCCCGTCACCTTTTTAAAGAGCGCGGTTGGCTCTAATCCATGCGGGCGCCCCCCTTTCGTGCCTCCCCCATCCCTTGCCCCCCGCGGCTGGCGGTGCGCGGCGCTCCTGCCACCGGCCTCAGCAGCCGGCTGAAAAGGGGGGGGGGCAAAGCCCGCCCCCGTCGCGCCTCCGCCCCCTGCGCCCTCTTCCAGCCGCCCGGGGCCTGGCGTTGCCGGCCAGGCGGGCAAAGGGAGCCCAAAGGCCGGGCAGTGAGACCGCCCAGAGCTGGGGGCAAGAGAGGGGATTGGGTAGCGCGGAACCCACAGGACCCGAAAGCTGGGAAAAGAGTCAGGACGCGAGGAAGAGCCCCACCGAGGCTTTAGGAAAACTTAAACCCTTTCGCAATTGCTTCCTGGTGGTCGCTCTACAGCCTCCTACAGAAGAGCCACTCGTCCAGATCTCTTGACATTTGTTTGTAGTCCCGTGGGCTAAAGGTTTTCTAAGTAGACTGAGTCTTGAGACACCCTCAGGTGTTCCCGCGGGGCTCGTCCCACCACCAAGTCGTGGCTGTGCACGCGTCTGTAGAAGGGCGCCCTCTCTGTTCAGCCCTGGAAATAACCAATTCCCCGACTGCCTTGGCTACCCGTAGTTTGGATTTAATAAACTTTCCTACTCGATGCATTCCGGTGACCACCACCCACCCACCCCGCCCAAGAATGGCGACCAAAGCTGGACCACCAGCGCCAGGCCATGTGGTTATCTGACACATTTGGAGGCAAAAGACCCGTCGTTCTATGCGCTAGGGAAGATATCTTGCAACAATTTCAGCAGTGAAAATATGGGCCGGAAGAGGGGAATCGTACACAAGGATTAAGGCAAGGTGAAGAGTCCTTTAAAATAATGTGTTGGAAACTTGTTTGAATTTAATTCCTGGAGCCCCCTCATCAAACGGGCGAGCTTCCCATGCGGGTTGTGATTGAAAATTTAAGGGCATAGTTACCAATTAACAGAAAGCCCAAATTTAATTCATATATGTAGCCTATACATTAAAGTGAATGGGATTATTTTAACCTGAACCACACACAAAGCCCAGAAGCCGATATTGGTATTATTTCCACTGTTAGGGGGCTCCTTGAAAATCGATTGTCATATATATTAATTGCTTGAGAGTAAGAGGTATTACTTGCTTCCTCACCCCCTCAGCTTTAAATAGAGTGTTCTTTCTGAGGTTTATGAAAGTCCTCTGGTGAAATAATGTATATAATTGATTTCACCACCAAAAGATCACAGTAATGGGGGTGGGATGTTTGTTGGATTTGGTGACAGTCCTCAGGATCTCACCCCCACCATTACCACCTTGGATGAATCAAAACATTCCTAAGGGTAAAAAGACTTTGATCTAATTTTATTCTGGATCCAAGCAAAAAAAAAAAAAAAAAAAAAGTGGAGATGTGGGACAAGACTGAGCCCTTCCAGACACCCACAAAGCAGATGCTTAAAAAAAAAAAAAAAAAAGACAAGAAAATGCTAGGACACATTATATTTTGGCTGACTCGGCTGGCTCATTATTTGGTAACTGAACCCTAGATTATGATCTACCATTGGATCATGAGATTTGGAGCTGAAAGAGCAGAATTTAGTGTCTGTGCCTGCTTCCTCAAAAGTAAATGGAACTTCATCTCTCCCTATTTCTCGAAACCATGACTGGGATTTAAAAGAGGAGTGACTGTGAAAGCACTGTTAAGCCATCAGGCATTATACTAATGTCAGGTATTTATTTTCAATATTTATTTTGTCTCTTGAATACAGTAAGCAACATCCCTGCATATCAGAAAGCTCTTATCTTCTAAAAAAAAAAAAAAAAAAAACCAAGGTTATTACCCAAGAAGTCTAATATCGAGTAACTTTAATATTCTAAACAAACCCAACACTGTCTTCTGCGTCTAATGGTGCCCTCCCTGTCCACTATAGTTTCCACTGGCCACATGCTATGGTACCAGTAGCCACGTGTAGGTAGTGAGCACTTGAAATGTGTCTAATCCGAACTGACACATGCTCTAAGTATCAAATACATGCTGGATCTCAAAGACTTAATATAAAAATAGAAGGTAAGATATATCATTAATAGCTTCTCTATTGTTTATGTTGAAATGATAATATTTTGAAAGTATTGGGATAAATATATTACTAAAGTTAATTTTACCTATTTCTTTTTACTTTTTAACATGCCTACTAAAAATTTTTTTAAAATACATATGGCTTGTATTATGTGTTTATTGGGCAGTGCTGGTCTAATGAATCCTCATCAATGGCAAGGTCTTAGGCAGAGTACTAAAAAAAAAAAAAAAAAATAGAGTTGTTGGGTGCCTTGCCAGTCAACATATGGCCAGCCAATAAAGGAATCAGGATCTTTTGAATTTTGGCACAAAGTTCTGTGACATACACACACACAAAAAGGTTAGTATGTCAAAAGCTAAGTACGTAATTTGTAGAAGTATTTTTAACTTCATCTTTGAACACCATTTCCCTCTGTGCTCTTGTGCATGTTCTCCTTCCAACACCAATACTATAGAGGCTTTGAAGTAAGGAGTTAGTCATTCTAAATGCATTGAAGCCCAATAGCTGGCAAAGTATTTTCTTAGATAATTATAAATATTGCTGATATGCTTGTGTTCTTAATACCACCTTCATGGCAACCAAGAAAAGAATTCAATCCTCATAATGTGTCCCAATTTTTATTTAGAAGAGTATATTTTATTTGCACACACACACACATCCCTATAGAAATTAATCCAGTCTTAATCCAATACCTTTTTGTGTGAACTATTATTTTTTTTAAAGATTTTATTTATTTATTTGACAGACAGAGATCACAAGTAGGCAGAGAGACAGGCAGAAAGAGCGGGGGGAAGCAGGCTCCCTCCTGAGCAGAGAGCCCAATGCGGGGCTCGATCCAAGACCCTGGGATCATGACCTGAGCTAAAGTCAGAGGCCTTAACCCACTGAGCCACCCAGGCACCCCTTGTGTGAACTATTATTAAGAAAATATTCTTTGGAGAATATTGAGTGACTCCTGTCATTCAACATAAGCCACACAATGCATTGTTGAATATATGATATGATATAACACATCTTTTATATTTTTTGTATGTAACAGAAAAAACTCATGTGTGACTTATTTTTTTAATTCACTGGAAAGAATTTATATGCAAATGCGTTTCTCAGGACTTAACCTCCCCCCCACCCTTAATCATCTATTTGTACATATTCATTACCATAGCAACATTACATCATGACTCCTGGATCCTCAAAACAAAAGAAAACAACAGCAATAATCAAGGAGTTCATAACCCACCAGTGAAATAGACTTTGGTTGAATGAATCTTACATAACCAAGAAAAACAAGTATAGGAAGTTTAAATTGGAATGACTCGACACATTTGCAAACTAACTTTCTGAATTAATAAGGCAAACAAATGTGTATAATAATTGAACTTTGAAAATGACTACTTGTTGGGTATGGTTGTTTGGGATTTTTTTTTAATCATACATTTTTCTTTTTTTGTTATCCTTTCTAGAATCTCCCATGCCATGCATCTTAATTTTTTATTTCATCTTGGAACATGAACTTATCATGGAATGAGCATATGGTGAGGAGGCATACTACAATAATTTGCTATATACTATCAAGGTCTAGTCTGTTCTTATTTTACTGCATTTTTCCTTCCCTAAACTCATATTCTCCCTAAAGGAGCCTATGATAAACTCATTTCTACTCCTCTCATCTTGTAATCCCAGAAATCTTTCTATTAAGGAACCCGGGTTCACTTCTATTCTCCTCCTTCTCCTTTTGATTGGTCATTCCATTCCATGAAAATAGTCATGTGTTTTAGGACCTTTATTAAGGTTCTATAGTATGTACCTTTAATCCATCTACCTCAAGGACAGTTCAAGTCTCATAAAGAAGAAAAATAATGGCATCTCCGTGGACATGATAGTGGGGCATCAAACAGTTTCTTTCTTCCACTGCCACTGCTAAAATTTTAAAGTCTTTAAGTACTTTAAATTATCTCTTTTCACCACCTTCCAAAATGGCTGCATCCCTTCCCTGAGTTTTCATATCCCTATTACTATTAATATCTCTAACACTATTAATATGGTCTTTCCAAATAACTCAAACTTTGTCTCAGTTTTCCCTTCTACTGATTAATGTCAGTGTGCTGGGCTTATTAGCTGTATTCAATACAGTCTCTGTAAAATGCAGGTCAAAGATTCAGTTCCAAGTAAGCAGACCACTACTACCTGGAGCGTTTCCTTAGGAAGGACCTCTAATTATACTCTACCAGAATGAGGTGACAAGGAGGTGAGAGAGTTATAGGACTCAGTACAAATCCATCCCTTCCTGAGTAAATAACTAAAAACAAAAACCAAAAAAAAAAAAAAAACCCAAAACACAGTTACTTCAATCACAGCCAAATCAACACTGGTGTTCCGATGACCTTGACTCAAGCAAAAGAGTAATCTAAAGCTGCTCTGTTGAGGGCAGCAGCCACTAACCACTTGTGGCTCTTGAGTACGTGAAATATGACTAGTCTGATCTCATAGGTACTGTGAGTGTAAGATATACACAAGACTTCAAAGACTTAATACCCCCAAAGTCTCAATAATTTTTAAAGTTAAATACATGTTGACATGATAGTATTTTGTATATTGGGTTAAATGAAATATATTATTAAAATTAATTTCACCCCTTTTGCCTGTAAATGCTAGTAGGAAATCTAGAATTATGTGTATGGCTTCCATCCTAATTTTATTAGACAGTTTTTACCTCAAGAATCTTCATCAGATGTCAAGGAACTGTCAATTTTCCTGCACTTAAAATGGTAGGATAAACAAGACCTTTCTTCCAGACACGTAGTTACAACACCAGCTATCTTTTACTCATTTCATTCTTCAGTCATGACCCACATTCAGTCAATAATAAAATCACATTTATTTTCCTTTTGTGTTGTCCTTATCATTCACACTGTTATTTCCGAAGTTCAAGCCCC